CCCGCAGCGCGTCCAGGCCGCGGCCCGCCTACAGCGCAGCCGCCACCCAGGGGTCTCAGAGCTGACGTCGCCCCCGCCGCACCAGCCCCGGGGATGGGCGGAGAGGGCGGGGACTAGGGGGCGGGGCCACGGCGACGTGCGGACGCAGGGATTGGCCGTCGAGCGCACGCCCCGCCCTTCTGCGAGGAGGTCTGGGAAGTCGGAGCTTCCATCACCGGTAGGCATAGTCGCAGCCCCCTGGTGGCTTGACTGTGTCGTTCTCCACTTTGCTGTGTCTGCTATAGGGTTTTGCAGTAGCTTCCGGACCTTGAGGGAGAGGAAAGCAGGAACACAACAGGGACTAGGACTTTCCATTAGGAACCTTTGTCTGAGGGACAGGCTCCAATACTGCAGGAATCACTTCACCTCAACCTGTTCATCTGCTTTTGTTTTTCCCTGTTCTATCCCTGCACTCTCTTCATTCAATATCTCTCCTTCCTTAATGAAAGCAGGTAAAGTATGCAAATAGGTGCTGGATAACCACATCCCTAAGCCAAGAAAGTTTGAATACCCAGATAGTGCTGTCAGAAAACTCTGTAGGCACATATATCCTTTAATTACTTCTGTACTTAGTTTCTGCCCGGCACTGGCATGAAGATTTTCCTTAGGGCTTTGCAGAACTCATCTCTCCTTTCTTGGGCAAAGGAACTATGAATCAGGAAACAAGTCTTTGGAATGGGAGAGGGGCTTGGCACAGGTTGAGGTAGTCTCCTTGTAGTCAGGAGGTCTAGGTCTTACTGGTGTTAACTGTCCTTTGCAAAACTAAGCTCAAGAATGGAAATTTCCTTTAGATAACCCTACTCAGGCACTTTCTTTAGTACTCTGCAGCATAGTTAAGTTTATGGGCTCTGAAATTAGACTCCTTGGACTGGAATCTTGGTCTCTCCAACTACTAGCTGTGTAGCCTTGGCAAATTACCAGTATGCCTGAAAGAAGTAATAACAATGTATGTTATTGTTATTTTTCCTTTAATTTGCTTAGGTCCTGTTGTAGTTGTTGGGACATACCATCAGTAGAGCCCAAAAATAACTTCAAAAAGAATTTAAAAACTTAAAGCACATCTAGTGATTCTAATCCAAATGTTTTATTTTTCAGATGAGAAACTTAGAGCAGAATGATGAACTGATAGGTCCACATTAGAAGTGCAGGGAGCCTCATATACAGGTTAGTACTCTTTCTCTTGCCCAGGCCTCTAGACTTCTCTGCCTTTCAGCCTTATTCTCTTCTCCCCAACCCCTGTTCTGTTATTGCCCAACTTCATCCTTTTCCATGCTATTCTTCCACTCATTTTAAAACAGGGAAAGGAGACCCTTCCAGAGGTCACAGTATTCCATATACATATGTACCTTTGCACATCTGTACAGTTATCTCCTTGGCTATGTGGCCCATTGATGAAATCAAAGTGGATATTTCTAGAAGGGACTCAAGGAAAGCTTTATGGAAGAAATGTCCCTCCAGCGGTTTGATCTTTACCCATCCTTTTTCTTAACAGGTACAGGGCCATGATGCTAGAGGTAGAGTAGTCATATTTCAGCCTTAGTAACAAAAGCCACACACTCTATTAGTAGTGTAAGAAAGAGAGATGCCTAGATTCATATTGCTTTGGAGGGCCAACTTACTACTTCTGTACTGCCCACTTCTGGGATTTGCTGGTACATAAATCCCCCCTATATGAGGTTCTGTTATCTGAATTTCCTGTTATAAGAATTGAATGTAGTTCCTGATTGATGAAATGGTCAGGTCATTTACTTACCACTGTTATATATAGAATTTTTTATCTTACCTCCACAGCGTGAGATAAAAGAGGGAATAGAAAATGTAAATAAGCAACAACAACAAAATGTTCTCTTCGTTCATAGACTTGATTTTCCTTTAAATATCCAAGTATTAAAAATGAATTGCCAAATCACATGGTAATTAAGTTAAATTTTATAAAATGTGTTTTGGTAGGTAATTTCTTTTTGTTTTTTTTTTTTAAGAATTACTTTATGGGGATGGGGCCCAGCAGATGGCATAATGGCTACATCGCTGGACTCCCACGTAGTCGACCACGGTTTGAGCCCCAGACCCAGTGGCTTAAACTCATGCTGGGCATGTGTGCATGTATGCCAAGATCCCAAAAGGAGAATGGAGGAGAAAGGATTGCAGCATAACCATCCCCCCACCCCCCTGGGAGTGATTTCTTGCTTTCTGTCTCTCTGTCTTTCTGGCGAATACACATGCCCTATAACAAAAGCCTCTCAAGAAAAAAAAAAATCATTTTATGTAATTTTATTTATTTTAATTTGACCAGTGAGAGAAGAGAGAGAGAGAGAGAGAGAAAGTGAGAAAGCAAGCTGCCATGTCTGGGACTTGAATTGTGGTCAGCTGTATGGGAGTCTTCAGCACCTTAATCATCATGCCACCTGCTGGTACCCTGGAATGGTAGTTTTAAAATGTGTCCATAGTTTGATACTTCTCCCTCCATAGGGTAAAGCTTAACTTCCCTCATCTTGAGTTCGGGCTGTATTTAGTGACTTGTTCTCATGAATAAAATGTGATATAAATAATACAGTATGACTTACTTTCTTTTTCTTTTTTTATAATTTTATATTTACATGTAATTGTACATCTTTGTGAGGTATAATATGCATTTTTCAAAGCATGCATATTGTGTGCGATAATCAAATAAAAGATATTACCATATACATTGTTTTCAATGAAGAATGCCACATTGTTATGTGTACTGTTAATTTTTGCTCTACCAGTTTTCCTTCCTCCCTCCCTCCCTCCTTTCTTTCTTTCCTTTCCTTTCATGTGACTTTTGAGAGAAGGCTGTAAAACATGACAGCTTTCTTCTTGTCCCTGTGGGATTCCTTGAGGGGAAGAGGTAGCTGTCATGTCATAGTCTTAAAGTCACTTAGGCAACTTATAGAGAGGCCCCCATGGTGACTAATTTAAGATTTCTAGTCCAGAACCCATGGGGAACTGAGGCCTCTTGACAATAACCATGAGAGCTAGCTTGGAAAAAGATTCTTCAGCCCTAACTAAGATTTTCAATTGACTCCATGCACTCCAGTCAACATCTTGACTAACCTCAAGAGAAACCCCAAGCCAGAACCTCTCAGCTAGGCTGCTCCCAGATTTCTGGCCCACAGAAACTTTCAAATAATAAATGGTTAAATGATTATTGTTCAAAGCCACTGTTTTCAGGCGATAATTTGGTATGCAACAATAGATAACTAATACATCTGGGTATAATAAAGCTTAGTGCCACCTAACATGTATGCCAGCACTCAGTTATTTGTTTAAATGAATAAACAATTGAAGGGAGTATGTCTTTTTTGTAGTAATGGGTAACATACAATGCTGGTATTGTTTTTGATCCCTGACACCTGTATTATATAACGATTTTTTTTAGTGTGATCATGGAGAGGTCAAATGTAAATCTAATCAAGATCTGAACAGTCCTGAAAGTAACATATGGTGAATAGAGCAAATTCAATAGACTTGAATTTTGCTCCCGGCTTTAACAATAATTACCTGTGTGACTTATGAAGAGTCACCAACCCCTTTAAATCTCAATTTCTCTACTCATTAATGGGGATCAATAATGCCAGTTTATCTCAAAATATAATAAATGAGGTTATAAGAGAGTACTTAAAAGAGTTGGTGGAAAAATGGAATTAATGTATAAGTTTAGGGCCTACTGGTTAAGGGGGCCAAATCCCACATGGCCAAACGTTCAAATCCCAGCCCTCAGCAGCTTGAAAAATACGCCAGGTGTGTGCAGATCCTGACAGAATGGAGAAATCGAGAAGGGATTGTGATGTGACCATACTTCACTGGGGAGTGCTCTGTGTGTGTGTGTGTGTGTGTGTGTCTTTGTGTGTCTAAAGCTAGTGCACTCACTCTCTGGCAATTAAAAAAAGTATAAATTTATTTTGGTGCAAAAAAAATTGAAATCCATGTGTAGATTTTTCATAATATACATTTTCCATGAACGTTTTCCTTTATATGTGACAGTGTAATTGTACAGCATTAACTTTCTTTTAATTAAATTAGACTGATGAGGTCTGTCTTGTTTTACTTTTAACCAATTAAGCATTAAAAATTTTGGGTGTGAACACCATCAAGAACTTTTCTTTCAAGAGGTAGCAACTTGTATACCAATTTTACTGTGTACTTTTATAAAATATTAGCATCATTCATTGCAAGCAGTTTGGATTTAAGAGTATAGTAGAACGGTAGCTTATTACATGTCAGATCTCATTTTACTAGGCTGTTGAAAATTTATTGCACCTTAAGAAGAATACGTAATTATGACTGACTCCTTTTTCTTTTCATGAATTAATTTGTAACTGTGGCTAGGTATCGGCCCCTTTTTATGGTAACAGTGGTGCTTAAATATACTTAGTAATAAACATACATTTAACCAGTAATTTGATCTGAAACTAAGAGTTCATCCTAGAGCAAAGTTGAACCAACATAAGGAAATAAATGGCAAAATATGTGTTTCTCTTTTAGAAGGCAGGACTTGGGCACACAGGAAGACTTTGTACAGTGGAATGTCACAGGTAGAGATTATGCAATTATTGACAGTGCACAATTCTGTGGCATGAGTAATCTAAAAGGAAAATGTATTAGGATGAAATAAAATTCAAGTCCTGATTACTTGGTGGATGAATTACTGAAGCTCTCTGGTTTTGTTGCTGTTGTTTCTTGTTTTCTGCCTTTCACCTATGTCCCCAGAGCAATTGAAACTGCTGGCTTACCTAGTATCAAGATACCTTACTTGAGATTAACAATCCCTGAATAAGTAAGAGAAAACTGTTATAGTTTTTTTTGTCATTGTTGTTGCTTTTTTTTTAGATAGAGAGATTGTTGCTATAGGGTGCTTGCGTTAAACAGAGAGACAGAAGCGAGAAATAACCCCCCAGGGGGATGGCCACACCACAATCCCTTCTCCTCCATTCTCCTCCCAGGATCTTGGGCATGCATGCACACACACACCCAATGTGATTTTTAAGCCTCCAGGTCTGGGACTCCAACCACAGTCGACCATGTAGAAGTAAAGCAACGTAACCGTAACATCACCTGCTGGTCCCAAGAAAGAGAAAATTCTAAAAAGAAGAAACAACAACAACAACAACAAAAAAAAAACAGAACTTTATGCTCTCCATTTCCAATATCAAATTAGGAAGTAAATAAAAAATGGACACCAGAAAACTGAAACCGAGATGGAGGAATCATGGTGGCCATATGCTTTTCAACAAAGCTTCTCACCTTCTATTGAAAATTCCTGCCAGTTCCACCCTTTGGAGCCCAAAAGAACATTTCCTAAACCATTTTCATTTCTTCCTGCTACATCTCACAAAATCTACACAAATTTTGAGACAGCTGAAAAGGATGGTGTTGGGAACCAGCAGTTAGCGTAATGGCTATGTCGCTGGACTCCCACGTAGTCGACAGCGGTTCGCGTCCTGGACCCTGTGGCTTAAACCTCACGCCGGGCGCGTGTGCGTGCGTGCCCAAGATCCCGAGAGGAGAATGGAGGAGCAGGGATTGCGGCGTGACCATCCCCCCTGGGGGGTGATTTCTCACTTTCTGTCTCTATGTCTCTCTCTGTCTGTCTGGCGAGCACACGCGCCCTACAGTGAAAATCTCTCCAAAAAAAAAAAAAGGATGGTGTTGGGAACCAGCAGTTAGCGTAATGGCTATGTCGCTGGACTCCCACGTAGTCGACAGCGGTTCGCGTCCTGGACCCTGTGGCTTAAACCTCACGCCGGGCGCGTGTGCGTGCGTGCCCAAGATCCCGAGAGGAGAATGGAGGAGCAGGGATTGCGGCGTGACCATCCCCCCTGGGGGGTGATTTCTCACTTTCTGTCTCTATGTCTCTCTCTGTCTGTCTGGCGAGCACACGCGCCCTACAGTGAAAATCTCTCCAAAAAAAAAAAAAGGATGGTGTTGGGAACCAGCAGTTAGCGTAATGGCTATGTCGCTGGACTCCCACGTAGTCGACAGCGGTTCGCGTCCTGGACCCTGTGGCTTAAACCTCACGCCGGGCGCGTGTGCGTGCGTGCCCAAGATCCCGAGAGGAGAATGGAGGAGCAGGGATTGCGGCGTGACCATCCCCCCTGGGGGGTGATTTCTCACTTTCTGTCTCTATGTCTCTCTCTGTCTGT